GAGGGGGATCGGGGGGGAGGGGGGCGGGCTCATCCCCTCGCCTGACACCTGTGAAGATGTCACTGTATTTAAACCAGACAAACAGCTGCTGTGACCCTCAGATATGGAAAAAGGGGACAATCTCTGGACATAATCCCCTGTCTTTAACTGCCCGCTCCTTATTTTTAGACTATAATGAAGATAAAAGTTCCATATGGTTCACGTCACGGCCGCACAAACACGCCGTCTCCTAGGGAGCGCCTGCTTCTTATTAATTTATTGCTACATCAATTAGCTACTGAGACACCAGCTTCCAATCAATCGCCAGGAAACAGAGTCAGCAGGGTTTTTTTCTGTTTTGTCAAGGCCACTCCTTGTTTTGTTGACAGTAGTTTATCCACAGCCAGGGTGGTCGATAGAGCATAGTGGTCAGTAGTGTGGAACAATGGTCAGGTGACCCCAACCAGAGGGAGACATGGGGGGGGGGGGGGGTTTGGGCACGTGCTCTACATCCTTTCACATTCTTCCTTCACAGCTCAGTCAAAACGCTGTAAGGAGTGAAGTGAACTTTGGTCGTTGTCCTGAAATATTTATATATCGGGCAAATAAATAGTAGTAAAACCAGCAGGAAATGTCCAGGGTGATTCCCAGAGCACTGGGATGTCTGAAAACAGCTTAGCTTCCTTAGCTTGTCTCAGAATCACGCGGTAGAGGTGGTCATTTTGTCGGTATGTATGTATGTATTTTGTCCTTGTTGATGCCACTGCTAAAGCACCTCCGTGCATCTACGTAAAGAAATGTGAGCTCTCTGTTGAGCTTCTGTGTAAATATCAACCTTTCGTTCATCCTGGTGAAGTTCATCAGCAACAAGCCTGGAAACGAGGGAGACAGCTCAAGCTCAGCAGCAAGCCTGGAAACGAGGGAGACAGCTCACAGTGCACAGCAATAGTCTGAATATTATCAATGTGTAAAACCTAATATATGCTGAACAGCCTGTTCAATGATTGGCTGCTGTTTGTTAAACACACAATAAACACTGTAATTCACTCAACACTGTACGTAAGAGCGATCAATTCTAGGATTTGAGGCTGGTGAACAAACAAGACTGAGCCAGAACTCAATCACCACAGCCAGCTGTGGTGATGATGTGACTGGCTAAATATAGCAACAAGCTCTGCTGCTCCGTGGTGCCGTACACCAGGGCAAAATGTTAAACTTGGTCTTATTTAGAGATTTCTTATTTACGGCAATCACTGTCCTCGAAGATTCTGGTTTTGCTAAGGTTTTCGGGCCAGTCCTGTGACCTTAAAGCTACACTACCGCCACCTGCTGTTTGTATTTGCCACTGGAAAATATTTCCACCACAAAACATCCTGATGAGAAGAACAGAAAAAGCATCATTTAGTTCTGGTGACACTCAAAATGATTGGGCAATTTTTTTGTCTATGTTTTTTTTTACTTAGTTTTCCTGCGTTCTTTATCTGAACTGTCCCTTCTGTTTCCCCTCGTTACCAGGCTTTATGTTGAGCCACGACAACTGGTTGTGCTGTTATTTTTCCAGGGTTAGTACAAAAGGTTGATAGAAACACTGAACTGCAGAAACAGGTAGGAACTCTGCAGCGGCAACGCCTAAAGATTGTGTAAGAGAAAAGACATGACGGTATTGTGTAAAGAGCCTTCAAGGTCCTGGTGTTGCATATTTTGCAGAACAAAGAGAAGAACTTTGGTGTTAACGTCACCAACGTCAGTGAATTATTGCCACACATGACGACGTGACATGACACCGTTATCTCCTAAAGTCTCCCCGCTGCACAAACACAAACGCTCACGCTTAATAAAGATTTTCCAAACAACAATTCGTAGCCGACGTCACCGCACTACAGCACGCACTTCCCTCACAAACCCACCAACACTGCTCTGCTCTGCTCTGTCTGGCCTGGGGCATCACTGTGCAGGGGCTGTGAGAACGGTGGGAGGGCTGGGTGTGTCAGGAGGGGCAGGGACAGGCAGGATACCGTCGGGTGAGGTAAGGTCATTATTCTGGGGTGGAGCTCGGGGCGAAGGTCAAGGAATGCTTGAATGGCATCTCAGCCCTGTGTGATTCCTGGAGACCCATGACCAGGAAAGAATGAATTTGTTCAGGGTGTACCATTGTTGATCGGTCTGGTGTAGGTAGAGGGCGCCATTGGTGATGGTGAATGGCCAGAGTGAAGTAGGGTGAGAGTAGGAAAGCACGGGTGAGGAAGCTGTTTGAGAGCCGGATGTTGGCGCTGTGTTTAACAGTGGTGCGGCTGCAGTCTGTGGGAATGTGGGGCCGTGTAGCTGTTGTCGCTGGAGCTGCTCTGGAGACTGTAGTGGTCCTCTTCTTCGCCGTCGCTGATGCTGTCCACGCTGTCCGCCTCCCCGGGCGTGAACTCCATGCCCTCGATGTCCACCTCTGCACGTGAAAAGGAAAAAGAAAAACATACCAGGTTATTTTGAGCGCTGCCTAAAAACAGAGTCGGGGCAGAGGAAGTGAGAGGAAAATATTTATTTCCACTCAACAGTGGAGATGGTGTGTATGTACGGAAAAGCCTGCACGGCCTGTGTAATAATGTAGAACTTCAGTTGACTCCATAGGCAGATCATTGTGCTCTGAGGGCAGAGACCCTGATGCTTAGAAACAGCTACGGTTCTGTTTACCCTGATCCAGGATTAGTATCAAAGTTGCTGCCACAGTCCAAATATGGTATTTTGATGGAAACTTTTGACATCACTGAGCTGAGTTAGTTTTCCTCTGAACCCTAGGACACTGTTTCCAGAATAAACTGTTGCACAAATATCAGTAAGTTTGACGCAAAGGTTGGACTGTGATCATGAGGTTGCCTCAGTTTTTACTATCTTACAATGGACTATATTGTTTTGTGGATATTGTTTTGTTGTTTTCAGATATAATCCAGTCTATTCTATTGAATTGCAGTTTCATGGTTTATATACGTGGTCCGACATGTATCGGGGCAGTGGTCAGTGGCTGATTTAAATGAAAACAAATGCAATTGTTCTCTTTGTGTTTTGACTGGAGCATAAACAGGAAACTTGTTTGACTCCCGGCGTCGATTGTTGACGTCACAGCTTTAACTGTTTGTGTAACGTGTTGAAAATGACATTTGTATCATTTTAAATAACAATTTTCCACCGTATCCATCTGGCCTGTATCAACCTCAAAACCTTGTTCGTACCTTGTTCGGAGTCGGTGGAGATGGTCGAGCCCATGCTGTCAGTACGGACGCGCTCGACAGACCCTGTAACCGAGAGCTGCTCCAGGCGACGTTTGAGGTAGCGGTGCTCTCTCTGCAGCTGGTCCTTCGTGTTCAGAGCCTTTCTATCCTGCTCCTCAAGTTTCTACCAAGACACAAACAGAGTCAATGTCAACAATCACTGCAGCTGATCACATTTTTAATCGAAGAAAATGTCCTTAATGATCTTAGACAGTTCTAAAATGGTTCTCTGTGCCATAACGATGGCATTCTCTGATAAAGCCCAGCTCAGCCAATAACTACTGTAATGTTCAGGTCATATAAGGAATAATATTTCAGAATGTTTTGGTCCATTACTTGCAGGCAAATCAGAAGTGTCATTGCATTTAAGATTAGATAAGAAGAAGCTAAACATTATTTAAAAAGAGCAAACGTTTGTGATTAAAAGTAGTTCAACATTAGCCGTATTAGACAGAAGAAAAGGCCAAAAGATCATTAAAGTCTGAATGTCAAATGACAAACTAAATTTAATGGACAAAAAGTATTTTTTTCCAACAATTGATTTAATAATCTGCAAACTGTAATGTGGCAGTGTGAAGTTTAAAAAAAAAAACAAAAAAACATTTACTTCTGAACTTATTTGTGGTACAGAGTCAAATATGTGGACGACATAACATCACGGTTAGAATTCAAGCAGAGCGTCTGAGCAGAGACGACGTGCATGATAAACAGGAAACGAAGGGTTAAAACTGGCTCAGGCTGGATTTTCCCACCAACCACACTGTTGCTGCTTGTAAACACCGAGCTGAACACGCCGTGTTCTTGACTGTACTCACATTTCCTTCTCACCCTCTGCATGATAAGACTTAAAGTCAAATGACTTACTGCAAACACCGAGTTTTATGAGGATTTGTCTGCTCTGTGTTTGATCTGTCACGAGTCCTGCTGCACTCACTGAGAGCTCCAGTCGACACGGTTAATGAACTGTGCACTAGAAGTCGACTTAAACAAAACCAAACATGCAATTATCTCTGCAGACGTATCTGAAGATCAGACATCAAATGGCCTGTATCCCTCTCTGATGACTCTCTTGTTTACTGAAGCTTTTTAAAATGTTTCTTTAAGACCTGGAGGCTTTTTTTAAAATATCCTGGCCGAACCAATTAGAAGGAGAAAGGGCATTACGTTACAGCAATTTGAATAAGGCACACGATAGAACCTAAAGATAACCTCGAGATAAAAGGAAGCAACAGCCCATGACCTGGAGGTTTGTCAAACACCATTAGACAAAATGGAACTGTTTAGTTTTTGCAGCTGTAGTTGTAGTAGTACTAGTAGTTGTTGTTGTTGTAGTTGTGGTATTTTCTGATGTAGCAGTACTCATAAATAAATCCTAAGACTGCTGTTTTTATAAGCTCAGATTTAGAGCTGCAGCTGTCCATCATTTTAGAAATATTTATATATATGTTGATGTGCGTCACAATAACACACACAGCAGAGCCAAAGTTTCTTGGCAGTGAATTAAATTTAAACAAAAGCTTCAATTCAAAGTAATCAAAGCATTTTTTTTTTCCCCGATTTGAGTCGATTAATCGCTGAATCGTTTCAGCTCTGCGTATGTTTTCCTCGTCCAGCAACATAACCGTTCCCCACAGCAGTCACACCACAGCGTCTTTGTGTATTTCCTCATCAGCCTGTCCTTTTTGTACCTTGATGTGCATCTTGGCCCTTTTCAGCAAGCTCAGTGTGGTGTGTCTTGTGCTGTCTGGGCCCAAAGGCACCAGCTTCTTCAACTGCTCCAAGTACAGCCGTAGTTTGGCACGTCTGCAAACACACAAGCAATCCGTGGGTTAGCCGAGGGCAGACAAAATGGAGGTAGTGAGGTCATAGGTCATGAGGTGACCTATTGCTATTTGCATTTACAATTTTTTTATTTTTTTTTTTATGAAATAAATGCATATCCAGCAACATCAAAATCACCTGCCGTGTTGTCTAATGTTGCAGTTCACATTGGACAACTGATCTGAACGTTTTGTTTCTTGGGCCCAAAAACCTAAGAGCAGATTCTGAATTCTTACAGTCAACAGGTGCAAAATTCATCACTGAGCATTTGACATTTTACAGAAATGTGTTCTGACACTACAAACTACCCACTCCTGCCAGCACCTCTCTCCCCGCCCTTGGCCCATTTAACCTTCGTCATAATGGCCTTTCAATCCTCGACTACGTCAAGCTAGTCAATGAACCGTTTCTTTGTCCTAGACTAGCATTCCCCCTTTTCTCTGGTTGCTCTGGCTAAAGTAAACAAAGTCCAACACATGGTTTCTCCCTGAGCCGTTAGTCTAACCACAACTAAGTTTCTTGTCTGGTAATTCTACAAAAGATCTCTAAGAGCTCGGTTGCAGAGCAAGGCGAATCGTAGACCACGGCTAATCAGCAAATCTTTGCACATTAATTCAGGGGATTTTTTAAAACTTATGTGGTGAAGAGTTTCATCTGTGTTGTTCAAGATGCTTCTGTGCCTTTCAACCAGACTGGAAGGAAGTTTCTTCGACTAATTATGATGGATCTGAAGTCCTTATTGACGTAAGCAGACTTTATTTATAGGAACATGTTTTCGAATTTCCATCTCTCTACAGGTGTATTCCCAAATAAGGGCATGTGAAAGTGCTTATTAGGAGCAGCCCTTCTTTCTCCCT